GGAAGAACAATTACTGGGTTCACATCAGTTCTTACATTTTACATCGACTCTGCTAACAGTACTTGCATCGCTGCCGTATCCGTTACTGGCAATACATTTGTATGATCCTGAATCCTTGCTCTGTACGCCAGTAAGACGAAACTGATAAAAGTTGTCACTTGAGGGGCTCATAGGGACGCCATCTTTGGTCCAGGTGATATTCGGTCTGGGATCACCAGATGCATTACATGTTAGCGTGATATCTTTTCCAGCCTCTACATGTATCCTCGTAATAGGTGCATTGGTAATACTTGGAGGCACTAATAATGAAGGAAGTAAAAGCAAAATAAACCCAATCATTATCTAACTACGCCTCATAGAGTACAAATAACGCCATAGACGAGTACAAATATCATGCGGTATTTTGTACTGTAGAGTACCGGTTAAACAGATTTTTTTCGCATCGCGCAAGCGAAGAATTGGATTGTAGTTACGAAGTATAAAATGGCGGACAATTTGAATCGTATTGCCGACGACGAAGAGTCAGAATGGCTGGCAAATATAGATCCAAGGTTATAAGATGAATCTAACGAAGAAAAACAGCAAGACGACCAGGAAATTTATTCATTTACTTGAAGAAAATAGAAACAGCAACACGACAACGCGCCAATTCCGTTCCGCTTCGCACACTTCTGCCACGCACTCCCCGTAAATAAGTATCCGAGAAATTCGCCCGCACTGGACTAACAGATTGGCGTGTTGGATAATAAATAACTTACGTATGATGCACGATCCTCGCAGTAGAGAGCACTATTTATGCTAAAAAAACGTCTAACTTATTAGACGTTTTTTTGTGTAGTATCGCTGAGTATTTTTACTCGTTATTTGTATTTTGACTCGCCCTACGAGCTCGTCAAAATACGGCACAACTCGTAAAAATACTCAGCGATACTACACAACAAAACGTCTAATAAGACCTATTTACGATAGTTTATTATATAGCTAGCACTGCTCGTGGGCAATATGAAGCGCATCCTGTGTTCTGATTGGCTACCCGAGCGGGCACGATGGCCTCATCTTGCCCGCTCGGAATTGCCCGCTTTGATCCCGCGCAAAAGAAAAAAAAAGGTGCGCGGAGCGTACTTACAAAGTTCGTAACTTTTGCACAATGTCGGCCATGAGATCGCAAAGGGGGCAGAAGGCATTCAAAACAAAGAAAACATAAACAACCCTCGTAGGTTTATTGTGCTACAAACACAACTGGGTTTCTTTCCTGAGTCTCCAAATAAACAAGTCCTTCCTGGATCTTATTAAAGCGAAATATTTTTGTTATATAATATATATATATATATATTATATAACAGGCTTGTCGAAAACAAGGCTTGTCGAAACAGGCTTGTCGGGAAATGTAGTTACGTCCTTTTTTCCTCTCATAATATTTATATATATATATATGTATGATATATATATATAATATATATATATATATATTATATAACAGGCTTGTCGAAAACAAGGCTTGTCGAAACAGGCTTGTCGGGAAATGTAGTTACGTCCTTTTTTCCTCTCATAATATTTATATATATATATATGTATGATATATATATATAATATATATATATATATAGATATAGAAATATATATGATAAATCATTTTGCGTTTTTAGGGACCTCGACTTCGTCTAAAAACGCAAAAAAGAACTCGGCCAATATTCAGCCATACTAACCACACGCTTAGTCAATAAGTTTTGAAAGTTAGCTTAATGAAGGTTTAACTATTACATGAAATTCATGTCTCGAAAAATGTTGTCTAATTTTCCTGTTCCTCATTCATTGTCTTCCTTCCCTTTTTGCAAATTCTTTCCTTTTTTGTGTGTTTCTTCGATTCTCCGACTTTTTATCAAAGTACTCATTTTTGGAGCCGGAGCGCTTATAATTCTTTCTCGAGCTAAACTGTCTTACATAAGGGGGAACTACAGAATACTTGAAAGTTTCACCTGAGCGAAAATTTTTATTTACGACAATTGAGTTGTCGTTCCGTTCGAGAGAAATCGCGTCTTACTCTGAAAATAGAGGACTACTCACCCCACAGTCCAGAGGTGGAGTCTACTTTGAGGTTCCGCGCCTTAAGGATCACAATCGTCAGACGTTGTGTCGTGGGGAAGTAGTTTAACGAGACAAGCAGCTCGCCTACGTACTGGTGAGCTGGTTTCTGTAAAGAAATGCCAGTGGCAGTGAATCAACGAGGGAGACCTTAAACAGAGATATCACTCCTTATTATATTCTCAAAACGTGTAAATGGTTTGAGTATGAAAGAACATCTTCAGTGACTCACGGAATGTGATGAACGAGACACATGAATGGCCAAATTTTTTCGCTTGCTTATCATCCCTACGGAAGGGTAAGTATTTTCGAGGCTTTCAACATTTGTAAGCCACTTACACTTAAAATTTTCTTCTCACTAGAACTGGAACTATATCAGGAATTTAAAGATCTATGACTCATTAAGTGCGAACTACGAAGCTTAAAGAATCTTTTTTTTTTTCTTTCATTTAGCATTTTAGAAAAATATTTAGGAAGAAGAAGTAAGCCACACCGACTAAATATATTCTGTTTAGGTTCTTGGTTTTTAACAGGATAAGTCTGAAATCAGTTACCTTTGATTCGCCCGCGATATCGTACCACTTGGGTTGTGATTTACCAGAGGGCTCCGTTGAGTCTACTTCTTCTAGCGATACCTCCACCTGACCAATTAAATGTGAGTTTGAAAACGAGTCTAATTCGATCAACCGAATGCAAAACGATAGTGTTTCGACAGGATGCCCGTCCAATGAAAACAAAACTTCCTCATTCCATTGCGGATCAAAAGTCATTTTCTGTTTTTCAATTTCCCTCTCGTCCAAACTTATCCCTTCTTTATAAAGCTGTATGACAGGGTAAACATAAGCTGTTTGAAAGTTGCTCTTGCAAAGGATTCCCTTGGCTTGCACCAGTCCTATGATTAAAAGATCATCTTCTTTATTCAAATCAACCCAGAACTGGAGTTTGTAAAACTCCCCAGGCGTTTCAACAATGTATGGCTCTTCGCCGCTAGACATGCTGTCATAATCGGCGAGAGAACCGTTCTCGTATGTTTGATAAGTGAATCCTCCACCTGGCCATTGCTTCTTTTGAGTGATGAAATAACTCTCCTGAGAGGCACTGCGCCTAAGATGTGTCTTGCGGTAACGCCACCATACCCAGCAGCATTTGCACACCACGGCTAGCAACGCGGCGACTAGGGCCGAGGCTACTCCGACCACTACCGCTAGCACCAAAGATAGCTTTACGGCCACTACAGAAAAACAAACCAAATTGATTTGAACTATTTCTTCGATGGTATAGCATAAAATGATTCAATGTTTAATCGCGACTTCAATAATGCAGATTATGAAGGTTAAACTCTTAACTTGTATTACCGCAATCAAACTACCTCAAACTAGTTTATTCAATGTTTATTCATTGTTTATTCAACGTTCCTGGAAGTGTCTTTTATTACCTCTTAGAAAACTTGGAAACTCAGTTGCATGGGGAGAGTCTTGAGCAATTTTTCTTTTGGCATTCTTCTTTAATTATGCAAAACGGTGAATGAATTTACAAACTCATTTAAATCCAGTTCAAAGTCTACCAACTGCGCGGACACTGCAGACCTAAAACCCTAAGTTTCATTTCACGTTCACTTAAATATTTCACAGTCTGTTTTATTTGAAAAAATGAGAGATAAAAGCTAGAAATGTTAAAAGTGGCAGGAAAAGCCGGCTTAAAAATCTAGCACCATTCAAAATGACGATGATTTCTGCAAAAAGTCGCTTTTACATGAGAACTTATTCAGTTGTTGTTGTTGTTTTTTTTTTTTCTTGTGGATGGTGAAAGCCTTTCACTATCCAAAAAATTGTATTATCGGATGATATGTTAAGATAGTAATCAAATTTATATGTGATGTGAAATTTAATTGTATTTTTGATCATGTAAAGGCAAACTCCCTAAAAGACTTGCCCTTACTTTATTGGAGAAGCCTTCTAATCAAAGCGCTGTTTGTTATAAGCAACAGACCGTACTTTCTATCGGTTTAACGGCGCACAAACCAGCGCGGAGGATGTTGGGAGAATACTCGAACAGTTTGTTAACACTCCCCGCGCCTCCGGCACGTGATTTGAACTTGTTCCCCCAACATCCTAATTGGGTTGTTACGCCAGCAGACTGATAGCAAGTGTAGTCTACTGCTTCTTTAAATTAAACGTATAGTATTTCAATTTTCTACGAGTTTACTGGTGCAATAAAAGGTTGGTTTTTGACCGATCAGGAAGCTCGTAGCATCCCAGTTATTCTCTAAAAGACAAAATTGGCGAGGAACCAAAGAAATCGAATTTCAATTATATCAAACACGGATATCTTTGTATTGACAGCCATTTGTCATGTGACGGAAAGAGCCACGAATTAAATCTCAGCAAAGTTCTCTTGTTTCAACATTCGTTAGATAGCGATAGAAATAGCTCACGAAAAAAATTATCGAATTTTAACAGATTGCTTCAATCAATGGTTGTTTTAAATAAAAGTCGAGCAGTTCATTAGCATCGAGTTGTTTCTTTATGTTCCCACGGCATACATATGCCGTCCCTGCGAGTTGAATGCTTTTAGTTTAGCAATCGCAACAATAACAATCAATTTTTCTTTCATTTCCTTTATGTGCTGCGTATCACTGATGTAGATGTAAGAAATATCAATAGATAACCAGGGAAAAGTAGAGCCTCTTTTAAAATTCTTTTCCCATGCGCTAAATAACATTAGTATCATCATTTTCTTTTAAAAAAAAAATCTTTAATGCAGAGATTGGGATTTTTTGTTTGAGAAAAACTAAGGAAAGTACATCAATTTCTTTATCACGCAATTCTTAAGTCACTGTTTCATATATTAAACTCGTTTCGACATTGACGCCGTAGGGAACCTAAAACATTTTTTTACTATGCAACGTTGTTCTAATCAACATTTTGAGTTTTTCAGAAAGATGTTTATGTGCTTTTGCCGTAAGTCTGCACCTGTTTCCACCTTGTTATTCCCAGATCATAGTGAGGTGTTCATGCGGACAATTAGAGTTTGTTATGTAGGAAGATCAAGTGGTGCTGGCTTAACGGGAAACACTGATAAAGAAGAATAACGAAATTTTCGCTCGAAGGTAAGTAGCTACTAAAATCCGTCAACTAATAAATAAAGCGATTCGCGACACAAACCATGTTCTTCCGTTTTGATAAAAATGTTATTATTCAATGCGACAAAATGAGAACACTGCAGGCGCCACTTTTAATTTTTTCATTAGAAACCTTTTTTTAAAATTTACTTTTTTGTTTAACCATTTTAAGCTATCATTTTCTATCTTTGGTTTCTTATTGGTGTTTACTTCTTTTGTAATTTGCCTCCATGACATTTCTAGGCGATAGCTTTAGTTTCCCGGGACAACAAATTTATTACGAAAGAAAGGGACTTTAAATTAAATATTGACCTAAATTTGCAATTCAGATTCTGAAGAAAATACACGATGGTTTATGTCTGCAAATACTGCAAAAAGCCATAATTTCTGTAATCACTTGCAATTCTGTTGGAAACAAGGTTTTCTTGATAGCCATCAACACTCTCGCACAATTGCATTTCGGTAAACTCAGAAATGAATAAAACTCGAAAATAAAAATTAAATTGCAAAATTGGGATTGTTTTTCGAGGTGCTTTGCAGAAAACGTTGAAAACCCAAGCGACAACTGCGCGAGCATCAACTTTGTCAACCTCTCAAGTTTGTAAATAAACATATATCATTCTATCATATTACAAACTTTAAGAACGTGTAGATTTACCTTCTACAAATTGAAGCACGCCAGGCAGGAAAAAATTGGCCGAGACTCTCTCAGTTTCGAACCAGAGACCCTTAATGCATCTTAAATACTTAACTCGATTTTATAATTTGCATTCACATGCATTGATGGCTGGTAAATTCGGACGTGTGTTTGTCCAAGGTGAAGTCAGCTTTGTTTACTAAATTGCATGCAGATCTTGCCGAGCAGAAACGAAATTTAAGAAACCCTTTTCGTGGCCATTGACAATAAATAAAAGAGCTTTTAGGGAGAAACACATTATCGAGCCACTAATTGGGAATTCTGATAGCGCTTTGGATAAACTTGAGATCGGACGAGGTTTTCGCGGACAAACTTTTTGTCGAAACGAGTGTGTTCTCTCTCCGCTCTGTGACATCGACAGATGGGGACGGCAAACGCTCCGAAAAACTGGCCAGATAATCCCCAGCCTCTTAAAGGGTATCATTGGCAAACCCTAATAATTCAGCGTTTGAATGATCAGAGAACGAACTCTTTCTGCGTTGAACTGCGTTTACAAAATTGTCAACCACGACATTACAACATCCAGCTTGATAGAAAGCTCTTAACACGTTTTTTTCTATGTAGGTTAAGTTAGTGTATAACAGCGGAAGAGGTGATCTACTTACTGAAAATTCCATTCAGGGAGACTTGCCCATATTAATCAATTTTCTTGCAATGGTAGGTCACGTTTTCTGCTTCGACGGTGCAAAATGATGTTACTTCCACTTCGAAATGCAAAAACTCTGCGTTTGGACCCCTTGCCAAGTTTCAGTTCCCAATCGAAACGGTTCGAAACTGCAACTAAACCCGAGGCACTTTGCTTCGTATCGTGGCCGGATCTTTCAAGCCATTTTGCAGATCTGGGATCATCGAAATCAGTTCAACAACCTCATCATTTGCAAGTCAAAAGCCACGACTGAGATGTGATTGGTCGAGCCGAGACAACGTCTACTATTATATTGTCAATAATATGCCGCGGACTAACGAAGCTTCTTAGACGGCAAATGGCAGTGTGTAAATTAAACAGATGAATTTGAAGTGAAAAAAAAGGAAAATGTTCTCCGAAAATGGTATCTGCTCTTTTATATTTTATGATTTCACATAGAGCATCAGCTGTCCTCTTGTATTATGAATGCTAGCTGTTATTTAACTTAAATTTGAAACACTTTCAATGTAACGTCATTGAAGTGTAAAATATTTACCATTCAGAACGGAAATTTATCACCCTAAATTTCCAGCTTATTTCAAGCATGCTTTAGCTCTTTGTGAAAACACATTACTTGATAGAGCAAACTTTGCATGATCACTTGTTAAACAATGGTGGATGAATCGAAGCGAAGTGCAAATGCTTTTAAAATAACATGCATGAATTATTTGCCTTTTCGTCCTAATTTAAAGTTTTGATCATGATCATAAAAAAAAAAAGAATAAAAACTATCTAAAGTTTCCTGTTGGCGGGGCTAATTCTCTCTGTGCTGTTAAATTGAGTATATTCATCTGTTACTGAACGTGTCCTTTCTTTCCCCTGTACTTCGCCTTGTCAGTTGTGTTCCAAACCATCGAATGTCTGCCTCTGTAGTTTGATTAATCGTCACCAAGTCAGTACTAGTTTGAAATACAAAATAAGTTAAAACACTGCTCGCAGTAAGACACAGCTTCCGAAAGTTAAATATAGCCGGTAGGGCCTTAATCTAAAAAGTTTATATTTTCTAAATCAGCGAAAGAATAAAAATAAAAAAACAAAAAATGACCAATGCACGACCACTAAAATCCCTGAAAAAGCACGAAGAGCAAAAACAGCAAAAACCAAAAGGAAGCTGGCGTTTGCGAACAATGTGGGTATTTATAGATCTGACAGGTTGGGCCGACATAACAATGCAACAGAGGATGGGTCCTATTTTCTATCAGAAGTGATTCACAACAGATTCACATTGTTCCTTATGGTCTCTTTTTTCAACACTTTGCTTCTTTTCATTCACCGTGTGCTAATGATGATGAACGACTGCCGGCATCTGTACAGAGTTTTGCGACTTCCGATATAATTAAGACAGACAAAATGAACTTGAAGGCGCTGCTGTGCAAAACATTAATCTAAAGCTGATTTCATTTTCACTTACAATTTTTCTATGATTATTATCCACTCGATCTGTTTGCCGTATTTATCCTTTGTTTGATAGAACGTTGTGATGCAATGATGATATCGATACCAATAGTTTTAGTACGGTGCAAAATTTAATAATTTCAACGGTTGCTTTTTTATCTACAGCAGAACGGTTAACGCAGGGGATTAAACTGTGTGGCCGGCATGCAAAAGGCGTGGGGTGTGTTTGACGGGGGAGGGGGAGTTGAATTTTAGAGCGCTGAAGGTGATTGATTAATCCTTGGTGAGAAACTTCTCTCCTTTCCCCACGAAGGGTGGCCACACAGGCTAACTGCTCATCTGCTCAGAAGGTATCAAGCCTTCATTATAACATAACCGAAGCAAAGCGCGCGCTCTGATTGGTCAATTTAGCGTGCCCCATTTTCCCATGGGTGTACGCTGCTGACGTGAGCAAAGACTATTTTTCCGCGCGCGCTTGTTTTTTCTGGTCGCGTAAGATTTGTTAAATAAAAGGGAACTCTTTAGCTACAATGTATCAATGTTATGTTATAAAACAAATGGTAAACACCACAGCGTACACTGTTGAGTTATGGATGCACTTAGGTGGTTTGCTAAGCACTCAAGAAGCTAGAGTCGCTCTCGGCTATCGCCTCGAGCGACTCTCATGCTTCTTTCGTGCTTAGCAACCTCCCGCGTGCATCCATAACTCAATAGTGTACGCTGTGGTGTTTACCATTTGTTAAATAGTATTGTGCTACTCATTAGCAATTACTCGACAGGACTTTCCTGAGCTCGAGTTCCTAACTCTTGGCTGGAACCGACTAGAGATGGTCAATGACCGAGGTTCTTTGTTTTTTCTCTGATTTCAAATAGCTCAGCCAGCCAGGAAATGAAAGGGTAACCCATGCATGTCAGTTGTAACAGCTTTTTTCGGTATTCAAGTGTTTTTATTTCCAATTTCAAAACGGTTGCTTATCAGCTTAAGGATAGTTAAATTAAACTTTTACAGCCTAACATCAGTACGATATTCTCCATACTTCCCCAGAGCTTCTGCGGTTGGTGATCATTTCCTTTGCTAACATTAACGTGACCTTAACCTGTGATTTGGGAGTTAAAAGAGGAAATAAGATAGTAGTCACCGGCTTTGGGTTAATAAAAAAAGGAAGTTGGTTGAATGAGAGCTCGGTCGTAGCATAAAGGATGATTTGACTTTCCTTTGTCAAGAGCTGGAGGGGCAAGGAGAAAAAGCCTTCAAAATACCTCTTGAACATTCGAACTTCAGACCCTCGCATTTCGCGCATTGATCCTTCTTTACAAAGGACTCAATAGTAATCTCGGTCTCGAAAAGACCGCAGCTACATTTTCACAGCGTTTTCCTAGTAGGAATTACAAGCCATCAGCTCTATGTTTCTTCGAGTCTTTTTACACCAGGACATGAAGGATTTGACCTTTTTTTTTTTTTAAATAACATTCGGAAAAAGGGGCTGATCCATATCAGTATCCATGATGTGAAGGATATAAGAGTCTCGTGGAGGACAAAGGTTTGTCCATAGATGATCGGGGTAATAACTGAGCACTATGCTCCCTATAGCTAAGCGGCTTGGACACTGCGTCTACCGAGCTGTCTTTGACTCGCTTGCGAGACTTTCTAAGTGACGTCATCAACGGCAATCGCTTACGCCCTGGAAAATCCACAAGCGTAGCTGGAACTACGCATGCACTCCACGCAAGTATACTTTTACGGCTCGCAAGCTCGTCGCCCTCACCAGCACGACCGCACGAAGAGGCTTTATCCAAATTGATCGAAAAACGCGAAGACGGAGCGGACAAAACTTGGAGATCCAGTCTTGGTAGATAATGACGCTTGTCTTCTTCTTCTCGAGAGCGCCGTCTAGAAAGAACTTCCGGAAGAGTGTTGTTGTCACGTGCCAGTTTTATGCTTTTCTCGCCTATAGTCTTAGGAACTTGTCGATGTGGAAAAAGTCTTTCCGTGCCTTTCTTCTCTCTCTGGAAGCGAATTTTCTGTAGACTTCTCACAATCTTCTCTGTTTCCTCGGGAACAGTTTGTTTCAATTTTCGAAGCATGGGTGAGGTGTCTGTTGCCATGGTGACTGGTGGGTGCAAAGAGAGTGGCTTTCGATTGTTAAATTTCGAATTAAAATGTCCTCGCATTTCTTCGACATGGGCGTTTACAGGTTCCTCAATATTTCCTTGTCTTTCTTCGTTGAAGTTTCGTTGTGTCCCTGGAAAATTATTATTATCAGGAGGATTATATTCGGCTATAAACCAAATGTGCGATCTCCTCCATCCGTACCTTGTTAAATCTCTTTCCATTCTTTCGTCTGTTTTTCTGGACAAGTTGTTTCCTTCTTTCGGTTGAGTTTCCACGGAGTAGTCTTGTGGTCGTCCGTTTTCTAGTTCAGAAGTACGTTGCGTGTTTAACTTCATGATTTTCCTGATTATTCTCTTTTGTTTACTCTAATAATCATCATCGATGACGCTGTCAACCTTTTTCCTTGCAAATTCAAAATAAAACACACATCAGCTGGTAAAAAACTTTTGTTTGCATCAGTTGAATTTCCAGCACCCTCTTCCTCGACAGTAATAAAAGTCTTTCTATTTTCCTCCAATTGCGGTCGACAATATTTATCGCCCTGATTGAAATTTGAGGCGATTATATTTCCTTTTAGAAAACTCTAACGTCTTAATTGTTCTCAGAGAATCCGCTATGTTCACACCACTTTCACTTCTTTCCGAAGGTGCATTTAGCAGATCAGATTTTCAATGTTCCCTCTACGTGTTTTTTTTACCAGTTTAAAAGCTTAAAATCCATGCATGTTTTGAAGTCGAATGCAAAGTTAAAGCTGTAATTAGTGGCTGTTTGAAATTCAAATAAAGCCAAAGTCTCGACAGGTGTTTGCAAGAATTAACGGTATGGCAGGTGCCGTCTGATGAAGGTTACCGCGGAGGAATATATCAGTGAAATCTAATCTATGTCTTGTATGCAGGATTGACCCAAACAAGGTTTTATGAACAACTTTAATTTTGAACCACCTTTTTTGTCGTTTGTTAATCTGAGCTTCTTTTCCTTGAAGAGTGCCATTTTTAGAAACTGAGTTGGCGTTTTCACAAGGGAAACTCGACAAAAATGAATTGTCCAATTAAAAATTAAATATACTGATGTATAGTGAGCCATGGTTCCTTCCCCCAAAAGTAGAGGCATGTAGATTGGCAAAACAGTTTTTAAACAAAAGGATCGGCAAGTAGAATTTGCCCGTTGGTGAAATTAACAAATAATGTAATAATTGAAAGCAGATCAGTGGAAAAAAAAACTATGCCGTAAGGAAATAAGTGATCACGATGAAAATACAGCGGACACCATTTTCAAACAAGCCATGCCGACTTAGTGAAGAAAGGAAACTACCTATGGAATGCAACATCCTGTATTTTTGTCCACACATGATTACCCTGTTAGATCCATGACCACATAACTAGGCACAATCATGCAAAGTTTCTAAAAATGGAAAGCTCCCGGTGCCATACGCAACCCCTTTTAATTCAATCTATGTACAGGTAGGCATATTTCTATATACACGTTTAGCTTCGATGTCTCTTTTCTAATATACAGCATTTCTAAAATTCAGACTAAATCCTGTCATTTTGTCATAACCAAAAGCTATCGCTAGCACAGAGCCACGTGCACCGTAAAAGTCATGCGCGAGTTTCAGATGCCTCAAACACTATGCTCCGTAAGTTTCCATCCATAATAATATTATGTCCCAAGTTCCATCGCGTTTCACGCTGAAAGTTTCTTATTCTTGTCATAAATACATTTCCTCCAAGATATATGTATCGTTTTCTGGGGAGAAGATCTCTCGTCCAAATTATCCACTCATACTTTCAGAATTCGTTGTCATCGCCTAACTCCAGAAACACGTCATAAGCCTCCCGGTTACAGTTGCCGTCTGGAGTAAACACGTACTTATGAAAGGTACCGTCGACACATACAGCTGCATAGTAGGAAAATAAAAAAGGATTGCAATCGCAAGTCGCTGTTCGTATAGTTTCCATATTCAAAAAGTTTTTAAAATACTTTTTTGACCTAACTTAGGCTTTGACTGGTTTAAAAATCATTTGATAGTCCTTCGGAAAGTTAAAGTAGGCCTTACGTAACCAATCAAATGATTGACATATATGTCAGTTGAACAAAGATCTCGCTTGTTAGAGAACCCACGAGGGAGTGAGTAAAGTGCAGTCTCTTTCC